CCACTTGACGTGTCAATAAACCATCCTTTCAAGTCTCATTTGTGGCGCTTTTACCGGGACTGGAGATGTGGTTCCACGGAGATGACGCCGACTGGACGATTGAAGAAACCTTCATTAAGTCAAATGTGTGAGTGGATTGTGGCTGCATGGAACACCATACCAGAAGAAATGGTTTCCAAAAGTTCTAAAGTCACATCCATTTCCAACGCAATGGACGGGACTGAAGATGACGCTGTATGGCTGACATCACCTGACAGCGAAACTTCGATCGAGAGCAACATCGACAGTAACGAGACAACTGATGAACAGAAACTGATGTAAGGGTATCAGCGACACGACTGCACTCTCGCTAGCGGGGAGGGGCACAGTAGTCGTGGAGAAACGTTCCATCTGCTCTACGCTGCTGCCCCAGTTTCCTTGATCTTTGAACACCCTGTATTACTAATTATGAATATAATTTTTTTTTAAATGAAGTGTGATTTCGAATATAAGCCACACCCCAGTTTTCCTCTTGAATTTTTGGCAAAAAATGTGCGCCCTATACATGCGTAAATATGGTAGTTCGCTTGCGGACTACGGGTCACAGAGTGGATATAACTATTACATCATGGCACTTCATGTTTCCCAGTGGCTTTGATATACTGTATTTGCACATGTATAAAACACATTTCTTTTTGACAAAAGTTTAGCATCTAAAACTGGGGTTTGACCTATACATAGAATATTACATAATTAAAAAGAGCCACTATTCTATAGATGTCCAAGCCTGTGACACTTGTACTGTAAGCTGTGAAACCTCACAGCAGAGACCCTGAGTGTCTGGAAAAAATGGAGAATATCATAATGAATCTACCAAGAACTGATCCTCCACTATTGTTAATTCACTGGTAACATTTCCTCTGTAAAATCAGTCATATATAAACACAATATTATTTATGTGAGGCAAAGAATACGGTAACCAATGAATAGGAGGCTGGGTGGGCCCCAAAACCGGTCTGGATGTGGAGAGGAGAAAAACCTTGCCCCTACCTGGACTGGAAAGCTAAACCCTCAGCTGTCCAGCTTGTAGCCCTGTCGCTATATCAAGTGCACTATCCTGGCTCTCTATATACAAGGTAATATTTATTTGAATTCTTGACCTAGAACTCTACATGCTGCTTGTACACACAAAATGTGATATTTTCATGTTATTTTAAGTTTAGAACACATTGTCTGTGATGAATTCCAGCATTCTTCTCTATGACATAGGATTTTGTGGCCTCTCTTGTGTTTTACCTAACAGCTACCAACACGAGATCACAAAAAATTATCACTGAAGGAACATGTTACATTTATGCTGATTCTGATTCCAAGATGTTAATGAATAATGTGAAAGCAATGAAAGATACATAACAAATCTTTATTCAAATAATACGTAAAGCCAAGCAGGCAAAGTTTAGCCTTGAGTAATCGATATTAAATTTCACCTTTGTTGACGCTTCATATGCATATGGCACTTAAGAAAAACTACAATGGTAAGAGATTTTTACTGTCACTGCAGTACTTCAAACTCTCTCTCTAAAACTGTTTATTATTTTAGAGCATGCCCTTCTTTTGAGATATGTGTAATGTATTGCTTATGCTATGAATAAGCTATAAGCAAACTTACCTCCTCTTGGCGCCATCCAAACACAAGATTGTATTTGGCAGGGTAGCCAACAAACTTTCCCTTAAGGAAGGCAATGTAGAATATTGATGCATAGTAATTTACAAATTGGAACAGATAAATCTTCAGTGTCAAGCTGTCATCAAATTCTGTTTGTGTTCGGAGAAGCTCCATTTCTGTCAATATGACAGCCACCCAGTTATACACCTGTCAATAAAACACATATTATTTATAAATGTAAAAGTTGAGAAAAATTAAGCTAGTATTTTGTTTGTATTACATTACTGCTGACTGATAACGTACAATTGCAGTCTCATATTGACCACAGTCATATGTCACAACCAATCATATGGAGATCAACAGTCCACATCTCGACTTTGCCACTGTGAACAGTTTCAGTTCAGGAATCCAAAAGATCTAAATTATTAACATATAGCTGCAGAGAAGTTTTTTTACAAATGATAATTATGAAATTTGTTTAGTCATTCATTCAGTCCCCATGGTATTACAGTCATTCTAAATGTACAAAATATACAAAATAATGGAAAAAATAACTGAGGAATAGAATTTGTGTTGGCTACATTGAAAGAATTACAGCTGGCAACACTGAATGTCCTTCCATTTGATTACACTCCATATTGCTCATGTCAGTGCATTAGTAATTGTGTTGAGTGACAGACTGTATGAAAGAATCGGCAACTGGGACACTTGTCCGATTTTGAAAGAGGACAGATCGTTGGTGAGAGGGTAGCTGGAGCATCTGTGATAAAAACTGTCATATTATTAGATGTTCTGAGAGTGATAGTTTCTAACATTATGTTGGCATACATGAATCATGGGAAGACAACATCAGCAAAGAGGAACAGTGTGTGAAAATCATCAATGGGAGAAAGATATCGTTGTGCACTGAGAAGGTTTGTTTAAAAAATTACACACCTACTGCAGCACAGGAGATAGCAGAGCTGATAATTCATCATGACAACTCTTGTATCCACAAAAACTGTCTGATGTGAGCTTCACAAATCCAACATCCATGGTATGGCTGCAATTGCTAAATCTCTGATTGCTGAAAGTAATGCTCAGATGCGTAAACGATGGTGTCACAACCATAAAATCTGGACATCAGACAATCGGAAACATGCGTGTGATATGGTCAGATGAGCTCTCCTTCATGCTGTTCCCTACATCATGAAGTGCTTACGTCTGGAGAACACCCAGTGATACCTATGATCTGGAATGCCCGGTTCGGTTCCAACAATCAAACATGAGGGAAGGTCCTGTGATCATTTGGGCAGCAATATCATGGTATTTTATTTTGTTGGTCCCATTAATACCCTTCGTGGTCAAATTACTGCAATGGAGTATATGGACAGGTTGGGTAGTCACATGCATCCCATGATCCAGATGTTACTTCTGAACAACAGTGCAGTTTTCGAACATGAAAAGCCCCTATTCACATAACCGTTCAGTCATGGTTTGAAAAGCATGAAGGTGAAATTTGAGGCTTTCACGGCGGTGACTATGAAGAAAGCAGTCTTCTGGGATTTGGCACCGTGTATATGTGGTGTTAACCGACGTTTCGGAGTAACGTATCGCCTCCATCTTCAGGGTAGAAGAAAAAATATATAAGAAATCTGCAAGCAAAGAGACCGTGAGAACCGGTAAAAGCAGTGCTTTCTTCATTAAGGTGAACTTCAACATCTTCAGTGTCCAGCAAAATCACCAGATTTGAACATAAATGAACCACTTTGGTCCATTCTGGAGACTACAGTGAGGAAGAGATTCCCATCTCCACCATCTCTAAAGCAACTCAAAAGTGTTCTTCAAGAAGAATGGTACAAAATTCCACTACAGACTACTGATAACGTGTACGAGTCCATTCCAAGACCAACACCATATTAATAAAGGAATGTGCATAGTATCTCTAGTGTTTCCATTATGTTGTCCAACCCCTGTACTAGGTACAGAAATACAGTAGCAGCTTAGCTTCAAGTTTTATTCTGTGCTGCATGCTTCAGATCAAACACTCATTAGCAATAACTTAAAGCCCAAAATTTAATATGGTAAACTGATGATCTAGTTTAGAAAAATAATATAACATGATGCTTGAAAGTCAGAACAGTGGAGCCAGGAGAGACAGCCATTGTTAGACAGTGGTTCAGTAGGCATGTTCGGGCAGCAATTAATACACACACAACAACAGAAGAACTGTTGAAACTGGTGTGATAAATGCCAAGGCTACATAACAGGCACCAACAGTACAGCAAAGTAAAATATCTCGGTGTAATCTGCAATAAGAGGATTATATGGAGACTGCACATAGGAATGACTGAAGCCAAGGTTTTCAGAACATTTATTAGAATCTACTCCCTATTCAAAAGAGTGTTTAAGCACCAACATTATACTAACGGGTCTGGACAAGTGGGACTTGTGGTGGACAAAGTGGCGCTGGGGCAGGTTTTCCCCTAGTACTTCGGTTTCCCCTGCCAATCTTCATTCCACCAATTGCTCCACAATCACCCTCACCTATCATCTGGGGCTGGTACAATAGGCCAGAAGTGGCCACAGTACAAGGGACTTAGTCTCACCCTACTAGCATTAAAAAAAACCTTCCATAAAGCACTGATCATATCAATAATGACTCATGTTTGCCCTGCCTGGGAATTAGCAGCACACACCTACATCTTAAAATTGCAGCACCTACAAAACAAGGTTCTCCACACCACTAGAAATTTTTGAAGTACACATTGGTCCATGATTTGCACTCGGCTTTCAACCTTCCATATGTATATGATCCTATAACAAAACTGTGCAGGCAACAAGCAGAAGTCATACAAAATCATAAGAATAAACATGTTCGCAGTATAGGAAAAGGTGTAACCAGACACAGAAAATACAAGAGGCGGTGGTCAAGCTTACTACCATTCACATGACTAAGCTGCCATTGTAGCATAAGATACATCTGAAAGACATGATCTGCTTTGCAGAGCCTGGACTGACATAGGACTTGAATATAGCGCAACAGGAAGAATCTTCAATAACATGCTGTATGGGTGATACATACACTTGACAAAAGGTCAAGCATACTTATGCAGGACAAACCCATTCTCTTGTGAGAAAGGATGGTACATATGAACCATTACAGCTAGTGTTCAGGTGGGGAGGGGGGGGGGCTCTGGTCATGAGCCTCAAGGGGCTTGGCCATAAACTGCCAGTCATAAAGTAACTGTAACTGTCGGTCACAAGGTGGCACTAAGAGCAGATGGTTAGCCTTAAGCATGAAGTAGAAGGAATGCCACTGTTAGAAGCCGCTACCTAGCAACAACTAGAGAACACAACAGACTTGGAAGACTTAAGTTTGTGCTCTAGTGATATGTATTGTGTGCAGCTTACTGTTATGTTGGACTGGATTTGAATTACTGGACTGGTTTAATCATGTATCACTGAGGTGGAACCCATGTAATTGTCAACATGGCCAACCTGGAAATTCTTCTAACCACTGTAGCAAGCACAGAAGACATTCTGGAATGGATGGAAACCAAAAGAGACCAACCAAGAGATGACAGAGGGGAAATATGACATACATGTTTCTTGTCTGGGCGTATATACGTTCAGTGTGTTCTACACCGTGTTGGTTTGATGTAGATTTTAATATTCTTAATATTCCATAATATATTCAACACACTATAAATCTTCATTATATGGTATACCTTTTATATTTATCTTTTATCTTATGTTTGTACTTCTACTTTAATTGTAACACCAACTTGAGGAAAAAGTTTTATGTTGGTATATAATACGACATGTTTAACTGACACAGATCCGTATTAGTAGTTCAATAACTGTATGTATTCCTATATATAACTGCCTGATGAGGGTCTGGTCTTATACAACTGAAACATGCAGCAGGAATAAAGATCAAATATTAAAACTGACTATATTTGTTGTGTTGATGGTTAACATAAATCTTATATATATCTGGAACACATAACAGGATGCAACCAATGAAGAAAGCCATATAAGTTCAATGGGTCTTCGTCTTGGGCCATGTTCTGCTGCCAGTTCAAAGCCGTGGCAGAGTACAGCAACCATCAACCAAGCAAAAAAAGGCACACACCTGTTTGCTGCCCTGCAGGGCTGGGCTGACAAGGTTCTACACGGTGCCCTACAGAAACAATATACAAGGAGACCACCATCTGACTGAGGCATACTGCTCTCAGCTGAAAGCAAAGACCCAAATCATTGGTGAGTTCCTGCAGGAGTTCGCTCTTGCCACTGAGCAGTTGACTCATCATGCCTTGTTTGACTACCTAATCACACCATTTGTAAGTAAGCAGGCCTTGCATCTGTCGATGGGATGAGAGACCAAGGCATAAAAGGCAGCTAAGTTGATACTCGGTGAGGCTCTCTGGTATGCCCTTGAACTGGAGGCTGCAAAGGCAGCAGCTGGGTTGCCTGTCAGGCTGCAGTGAATGAATGATAGGACAATCTGGAGGAGCCAGCCCACACCAACTGACTGTAGAGGGGACTGACATATTATGTGCTGGCACTATGGGAGTGATGGCCACTTTAAGAAAGACTTGCCCCATATGAATCCAATGACAGAGGCGGCCAGAATTCAGCGGCCTGTGCATACAAGGTTAGAGTGCCCATGGGACCATATCTGCCAAAAAGGGAGTACAGCAAGGCTGAAGAACCCATTTGCAGACAGTGTGGGGGTGTCGGCCATCTTAGAAGAGACTGCCGAGGGGGATACTCACAAAAACACTTCCCAAAATAAGCTTAATTGAGAAACAAGTACAAGAAACGAAGAAGGTGCTGGTTTCATCATACCCCCTTCTGGCATGTCAGGAAGGAACATTAGATGGACAGGAGGCAAAGCATGCCTTGTGACCATCAATACAGAAGTATCAGTATGAATTAAAGAATAAGGGGTGGGCTTAGACAAGTCCTTGCACTGTGACCATCTATTGTGCATCCTGTGTCAACCCCTCAATGATTCTACACTTCAAGCAAAGTGTAGTGTCTCACTGAAAGGGGTGTCTTGGTAGTCACCCGGTTCCATAAAACAGTGTCCCAGGTAAAAGAATCCTAAGGAAGCTAAAGCCCCACCATTACATAGGACACGTGATCAATTCGTCTTTATTCAAGCACCTTTCACATAGGGGACTGATAGTTAATTCCAATTTAAAAATGTGTCCTTTCAAGTGACAGTGTTCTGCAACTAGTCACATCATCCATCATAACTGGTTTCTATTTAGTTTCAATAGTTCCCTAGTTCTTCTGGCAGAGGGTTCCTGTAGGAAACCTTCTGCATGTTTATGTCCTGTTAAGTGCTCCCAGTATTTTTTGTGGTTTCTGTTCAGTTTCCTATGGCAACCTTCCTGGTAATCTCTACTGAGATGCCACATGGTTGTTCAGGTCCTATAAAAGGATATTCAGATCCCAATGTTGCCAACTAATCAGCAGCTTCATTCCCCTCAATACCTCTGTGATCCAGCACCTGTAACAGTTGAACTCTGTGATTTTCATCCAGTTTCACAAAAGACTGATGTCAGTCCCAGAACAGCGCTCAGTTGATGTGGCAGTTGCAAGGTGCTTTGATCACAGCTTGACTGTATCACAGAAGGTTGATGTTTCTATTTCTATAGCCCCTATATAGATTCTATGTGAATGCTTTAATGGCATACATCTCTGCTTGGAATACTGTGGTGCAATGTCCAAGGCTGAAGCTAAGCTTCTTCCTCATACCACAGCTGCAGTGCCCTTATCGAGCATCAACACACCAGACATCACCACAGGACTGCCCAAGAGAGACCCCACCATGCTGTACATCCAGCAGATATCATCAGGAAGACCTTCCCCATCCTGAAGGAAGCTTTAGTGCAGATGACTCTGGGGCAGCACCCACTGACAATTTGGGTGTCAGTCACCAAGAGCATTGATGAATTCATTCTGGGACTGGATGTCTTGTGTGTCCACAATGCATTCATATATTTGAGGCACCATGTGCTATGACTGGCAATGAAGACATGCCATTGTGGTGCCCCAGTGCATGACTGTATCCACCCCCCCCCCCACATGAAGGGCAATGAGGTCTCCGTGGCTTGGGGACGGTTTTGGGGGTGTGGGCTTGCAGACTC